CCATGAGAGATGTCCCCGCCCCCTGTATTCCCGGGACTCCACCCAGGAAGATCTCACCATCCCCCACCATGAGAGATGTCCCCGCCCCCTGTATTCCCGGGACCCCACCCAGGAAGATCTCACCGTCCCCCACCATGATCAGGTGGGTGATGAACAATTATTGGACATTATAATTTATATACAAGTGTTTGTTCCAATAAATATTTTAATATATTCAGAATGGAGACCTCAAAGATTATAATATTGTTGTTAAAGAAGAGTATAAAGAGGAGGATGAGGAGTACGGGGTGATGGAGCTTTCTGAAGGACACAAGGATATGATGGAACCACCTTGTAACAGGAACCCACCAGAGAGATGTCCCCGCCCCCTGTATTCCCAGGACTCCACCCAGGAACATCTCACCATCCCCCACCATGATCAGGTAGATGATGAACAATCCCTGATGCCGTCATCGGGATTTGCACATGATCTGCATAGTTACAATTGATGTAATTTTTATATTCAGAGTGGAATTCTGAGTAATTCTAAAGTTGATGTTAAAGAAGAGATCAAAGAGGAGGATGTAGTGACGGAGGAGTCAGAGTTTCCGAAAGGACACCAGGAGAACATGGTGGAGTCATCCAACTACAGGAACCCAACAGAGAGATGTCCCCATCCTCTAAATTCCCGGGATCCCACCCAGGAAGATCTCACCATCCTCCACCAGGTCCAGGTAGATGATTAATAATTACTGGTAGTGATGAGGATGATTGTTACAATAATTTTCTTTTAAATATTCAGAGTGGAAACCTTCTTAACATTGTGGTTAAAGAAGAGTATAAAGAGGAGGATGAGGAGTACGGAGTGATGGAGGTCTCAGAAGGACACAAGGATATGATGAAGCCACCTAACAAGAGGAACCCAGCAGAGAGATGTCCCCGTCCTCTGTATTCCCGGGACTCCACACAGGAAGGTCTCACCATCCCCCACCATGATCAGGTGGGTGGAGTTGAGGGGCGGGAACATAAAGTGATGGAACGCTCTGACATGTGGAGATGATGTGTGGACTCTACAAGACGAGATCTTCTTTGACATTTCTTTTGGTTTAGGGTGAAGTTCTGATGAAGATGAAAGTTGAAGATGAAGTAGAAGTAGAATCGATGTCTGTGAGGGATGATCAATCTACGGAGGAGGAGAAGGGAATTATCAGGACAATAATAGAGGAGGATGGAACGACGAGGACGTTGAAAGAGGAGGACACTCCTACAGAGATCAGCACAGGTGGGTCATATTATATTCTTCTGTTATCTCTGCTCTGTTCCTGCACACTGAGTGATATCAGCCAATTATAGGTTGATAATGGTCCCCCTTCGACTGTAGAGGGGAGGAGTCCCGGCTGGTTGGGACCTCCTCATAGAACATCTGCTCCCTCAGACCTCCTGATCCAGATGGAATGTTGAGTGAAGAGGGGAGGAGTCCCGGCTGGTTGGGACCTCCTCATAGAACATCTGCTCCCTCAGACCTCCTGATCCAGATGGAATGTTGAGTGAAGTCATCTAACCCTCTCATATCTCTCCATCATGTGTCTCTATGTTTCCAGGACACGCCATGGAGGAACCCTCAAAGGATCGTCTGACTTTATCTCCAGGTTGGAAGATGGAAGATGAGGACATCACAGCAGATTGTGCGGGAGAAGAGACAATGAGCTCAGCTATGGATAGTGGACGTCACAGTGTGGAGAGACCACGGACTCCCTCTGACTCTGAGCGGCCCCATCCTGTGGGGGATGGTGCCGGAATTCAGGGGCAGAAGACATTTTCCTGTCCTGATTGTGGGGAAAGGTTCATCTCTGAATTAAGTCTTTCTGTACATCAGAAATATCACACGGGTGAGAAGCTTCATTCTTGTTCTGAGTGCGGGAAAGGTTTTCTTCAGAAATCACAACTGGTCAGGCATCAGAAAATTCACACGGGTGAGAAGCTCTATTCCTGTGCTGAGTGTGGGAAAAGTTTTTCACGGAAGTCCCATCTTTTTAGACATCAGAATTTGCACAAAGGCGAGAAGCCGTATGCCTGCCCTGACTGTGGGAAAAGTTTTTCAGAGAACTCTGACCTTGTTAGACACCAAAGATCGCACACAGGGGAGAAACCATTTTCCTGTCCTGAGTGTGGGAAAAGTTTTTCAAGGAAGTCCCATCTTAGAGATCATCAGACATGCCACACACAGGAAAAGTTGTTTTCCTGCCTTGAGTGTGGGAAATGTTATTCACGGAAATCAGAACTTATCAAACATCAAAGATCTCACACGGGTGAGAAGCCGTATTGTTGTCCTGGGTGTGGAAAATGTTTTTCACGGAAGTCCAGTCTTTCCGAACATCAGATGCGCCACATGCCAGAAAAACTTTTTTCCTGCCATTTGTGTGACAAAAGTTATACTCGGAAATCCGCACTTGCTTTACATCGAAACTCTCACATGGGAGAACCCATATTCTTACCATGATTGCGGGAAATGTTTTTCATGGATGTTTGGTCTTAAGAAATCCCTGAAAGGAGAACGATGATCGATGTGAAGAAAATGTGGCACCTAGAGGACCATACATGACAGAAGATCGATTGAGTGTGATTGACAGGAAGGATTTTGATGCTTATTTGAAAGTTCATACTGTGATTGTAGTTTTCTAATAAAGTTTATTCTTATACAACAAGCTTTGCGGGTCTGATGAGTTTCTTCATGTCACCTCAGTCTCCGGCCCTCCTGTAGGGCCCGGTGGGACCGTGGAACAGAAGCTGGTCGAAGAAGATGGCATCACTGGAGAGCATGAGAGAAAGGGTCTAAGGGAGGGTGAGGAGAAGACATTGGTCCTACAACTCAATGGTGGTCCATAGCGAGGTCAGAGGTGGAGGGTTGAGGGAAGTAGTAGGTTTGGAAGATGTCGTGGCTCTCAGACTTTTATCAAGTGAATCTTGAGGCCGGCAGAGAGATATTCCATCAGTTTGACCTCCCGTGATCCTTGTATGTTATGCAACAACAGGAAAAATTCAACACCAAAATACAAGAAAACAGTGTACATGTTGTGTGAAATCTAGAACCCGGCCCACTCAGGTTCCTGCTCCAAAATTAGAGCTTTACTAGAACCCGGCCCACTCAGGCTCCTGCTTCAAAAAGAGAGCCTTCCTTTGATATGCTCCACTCAGAATCCTGGTCCAAATGGAGAGCCTTCTTAGAACCCAGTCCACTTGGGCTTTCGCTCCAAAAGGAGAGCATTCCTGGAACCTGGTCCACTGAGGCTCCTGCTCCCGATGGAGAGCTCTCCTGGAACCCGGTCCTTTCAGACTCCTGCTTCAAAAGGAGAACATTCCTGGAACCCAGTCCCCTCAGGTTCCTGCTCCAGAGAGAGCTTTCTTGAAACCTGGTCCACTCAGGCTCCTGCTCCAAACGGAGAGCCTTCCTACAACCTGGTCCACTCAGGCTCCTGCTCCAAACGGAGAGCCTTCCTACAACCTGGTCCACTCAGGCTCCAGTTACAAAAGGAGCACTTTCTTAGAACCCGGTCCACTCAAGCTCCTTATCCAAAAGAAGAGACTTACTAGAACCTAGTCCACAAGGCTCCTGCTCCAAAAAGAGAGCCTTCCTGGAAACCGGTCCACTCATGTTCCTGCTCCAAAAAGAGTGAATTCCTTGAACCTGGTCCACTGAGGCTCCTGCTGCAATTGGAGAGCTTTCCTGGAAGCCAGTCCACTCAGGCTCTTGCTCCAAAAGGCGACCCTATCTGTAACCCGGTCCACAAGGCTCCTGCTTTAAAAGGAGAGTTTTTCTGGAACATGGTCCACTCAATTTCCTGCTTCAAAAGGAGAGCCTACCTGGAGCTCGACCCTCTCAAGTTCCTGCTTCAAAAGGAGAGCTTTTCTGGAACCCGGTCCACGAAGGCTCCTGCTCCAAAATGAGACCTTTTCTTGGACTTAATCAACTCAGGCTCCTGCTCCAAAAGAAGAGATTTCCTGGAACCCAGTCTATTCAGGCTCCTGCTCCAAAAAGAGTTTTCTGGGATTCTGGTCCACTCAGGCTCCTGCTCCAAAAGAAGAGCTTTCCTGGAACCTGGTTCCTGCTTCAAAAGGAAAGCCTTCCTGGAACCCTGTTCACTTAGGCTCCTGCTCCGTTAAAGGGGAGCTTTATTTGAACCCGGTCCACTCAGGCTCTTGCTCCAAAGGGAAAGCTTTTGTGGAACTCTGTCCACTCATGCTCCTGCTGCAAATGGAGAGCCTTCCAAGAACCTGGTCTACTCAGGCTCTTACTCTAAAAGAAGAGCCTACCTGAAACCCAGTCCTCCCAGGCTCCGGCTTCAAAAGGAGAGCTTCCTTAGAGCTTCCTTAGAACTCGGTCCGCTCAGGGTCATGCTCAAAAGGAGAGCTTCTCCTGGACACAATCCACTCGAGCTCCTGCCCCAAAAAGAAGAGCCTTCCTAGAACCTGGTCCACCCAAGCTCCTACTCCAAAAGGAAAGCTTTTGTGGAACTCAGTCCACTCAGGCTCCTCCTCTAGGAGAGCTTGTCCAGAACCGGGTCAACTCAGGTTCAAACCCACTTTTGTTTGTCAACAACAGTACCTTCACACCAGGTTTACCCTCTTGGGGGTTCTTACCCTCACACAGATACAAACTAAGTATTCCTGAATCCATGAGACAATCCCGATACTAAAACACCCAACGTAGGGTGTGTATGATATAAAAATAAGTCTTTATTGGATTCTTCCATATGGACTTCTGTACCAGTCGCTTCTTCTCAACGAGCTAAGGACAGAAACCGGTTCCCAAGCCATAAGAACCTCCTATAACTCCGTCACTGATCAATACATCTCCCCGATCTCTATAACGCCCCAATCACAGCCACAAAAGGGAATGAAGGCTGGAAGGGAGGGGGAGGGGCATTCATGTAAAGTGTATAAAACAATCCGTGATATCTCCTTCACTCCACAATATATATGAAAGTGCTCCTCACGTGTGATTGGGCTCCTCCAATCACCATCTGTGGTTCCTCCTCATTAGAGAAAGGTAATTGTAAAAAATGTCTCAGGGCTGCAGTTCCTCTGAGCTCCACCAGGTGGTGATCTCACCAATAGCAAGACAGAAGGTCTCTATGACAGGAAGTGACGTAAGATAATGACAGGAAGTGATGTCAGGTACAGACAGGAGGTTCCATGAGGAAGGAAGTAGAGAGCAGACATTGCTGGAACTGGCAGCAGACGAGGTAAGGAGATTTTATATGATTATAACCCCATCGCTGTCCTCTTTGCTCCTCAATTGTCCATCTTCTTGGTCTGAGGTACAAAGACAACTAAATATTCAACGTAACGGCCCCAAGTGTTTCTATGGCTCTGAATTGTTCTTCAGATTTCAGGTGATTTCACTTCTTGACCTGATAAGATGGGTATAAAAGGAACGTGACGGTGAAATAAACCATAAGAGGGTCACATGGTCACCGAACGTCAACCCCAAATCCAAGCTTTCCCTGTAACGCGGAGTCCTTCATTCTCTGAAAGGAGCCCCCGATGTAGGATGAAGTCTTCTTCAGAAAGAGACAAGTCCGGGAGAGACCATCTCCTGATTTCCCTCCTCCCCCCACTGAAAATTGTGGGTCCCCCCCGCTGATCTCCACCTCACTACAGGACACGATACAGAGACTCAACGGTACAGGACTCAATAATGACATGAAGGTCACTGGGAAAAAAAACATGAGGAAGTAGACCAAGAGATGGACACCTTGAGAAGAGTCAGTCTCTGAAGAAGACTTCATCCAGCATTTGGTCTCCATCAGAGCCATGTTCGGGGGTTTTAAGTCATCATGGTTTGTATAAATGGGGGGGTGTAAGGGTTGTTTTATTTATTTTTTGCCCCCCCTCAGGCATTTGGTGGGTGTGTGTCAGGATCTCACTGCCTATTTCTCCATAGAGGAGCGGGAGTAGTTAGAAGGACACCGGGATCTCTACAAGGACGTGGTGATGGAGAATGCCCCGCCCCTCACATCACCGGGTAAGAGGAGAGAGCAGTACGGAGGCTCCGCCTACATCCCCCATCATCTGATACACACATAGAAACAATGTATTCAGTCAGTGTGTGTTTCCTACAGATGGATCCAGTAAGAGGAACCCACCAGAGAGATGTCCCCGCCCTCTGTATTCCCGGGACTCCACCCAGGAAGATCTCACCGTCCCCCACCATGAGAGATGTCCCCGCCCCCTGTATTCCCGGGACTCCACCCAGGAAGATCTCACCATCCCCCACCATGAGAGATGTCCCCGCCCCCTGTATTGCCAGGACTCCACCCAGGAAGATCTCACCATCCCCCACCATGACCAGGTAGGTGATTGATGAATAATTATTGGTATTTGTGATTTATACAGAAGCATGTTTGTCACAACGAATGTTTTATTATCTCTTCAGAGCGGAGACCTCGGGGATTATAATATTGTTGTTAAAGAAGAGATAAAAGAGGAGGACGAGGAGTACGGGGTGATGGAGGAGCTCTCAGAAGGACACGAGGATAAGATGGAGCCACCTAGTAACATAAAGCCACCAGAGGGATGTCCCCGTCCTCCGTATTCCCGGGACTCCACCCAGGAAGGTCTCACCGTCCCCCTCCATGATCAGGTGGGTGGAGTTGGGGGGCGGGAACATAAAGTGATGGAACGCTCTGACATGTGGAGATGACGTGTGGACTCTACAAGATGAGATCTTCTATGTGATGTCACATCATAAATACTTCTATGTCACAGATGAGATCTTCTCGTCCATTGAGGGACACAGGAATTGAGGAACATTCGGGCTATACTGCTGTCTACGGAGGGTTGGGACACTGGCACACAGATATTCAATTGGTCTCTTAGGACCAGGAAGTCCATGGTGTGCCCCATCAGTTTCTTTTTGTTGAAAAATGGGGTGGTGTTGACCGGGAAGCCAAAATATCCCCACACCTAAGATTTTAGACTCGACAAGCCTTGTTGGAGGATATTGAAGTGAGTCCATTTCATGAGCCGGACTCTGTTGAACATCACCTAGGTGGTCACTTCTGGCAAGGTTTGGCAGGACAAGCGGCCTGATCCCTATGCCAGAGGATCCTAAAAGTACTAATCCCAACCGCACCGTCTTTCTTGAGGTCCAGACATTGGAAGCTGGCTCTTCTCAATTGGTGGTCTCTGCACCGAAAAGAGAGGTTTGCTTACCCGGGTGCCCTTCGTCTCCTGCATGGTAGGAAAAAGTCATCAATGGGGGGAGGGCTCTGTGTTGTCCTGGATAGCCAGCAGGCAGAGCATGCCGAGTTCCAGCTGAAGGTACCCCTGCTCGGTATAGAGTACATCCGGAGCCCATTGTGGGGCCTGGAGATGGGTCCTCCTTCTCTGGCAGCCTCTTGAGGAACCTTCTCCAGATCCCTTCCTCGGTTCTTCCCTTAAACAGGTGAATGTTCTCAGCAGTGTGTCTAAGGTTCCTGTCCCTTGCCCTCTGACCTTCCTATCCTTCCCTCCTACCTACCTTGGTATGGGTACCTCTTGTGTAGCCTCCACCCCTTTTTCAGTCAGGCTGACTTTATGGTTGGTACCCTTGAGTTCTCTACCAGTCTCAGGGGGTCACTTCTCTATTCTTCATATGCCATCACATTTCTCAGATCCTTGGCCAACACTTGGGAGATCAGACAACCTCATTTTTTGGGGTACCTCCTTTCCCTGAATACTTACGGTTGGAGATGTGAGGCTTGGGTCTTCACATGTAGACCAGTTGGTCTTGACTTGGACCCGTTTCTGTCCAGGGTTCCATCTAGGAACCTGTTCACTTAGGTCCTTGTGTTTCTTTTCTGATGACCACATCGTGTTGTTGGTCTATTTCTTCCTTTTGGGTAGTCATGAGGTTCCCCCTTGTTTTGATGGGGTTTCCCTTGATCATTGGCAGCTTATCCTTTTCTTCCCCGGGGGGGCTTCTTCTCATCTGATTCAGATTCAGATGTTGGTCCTTCACTTAGTTATGAGTTGAAACCAGTTCCCGGTCCCCTCTGAGCCTGTCGAAGGCCGTTGCCGGCCCCCTCAATGGACTCGTTTTCGACTTCCTGACTGTATCGGGATTCGTGTGTTCCTTCATGAACGGGAAAGGACTTTTTGGGGTCCGTTGATGAACAAGGGCCGGTCCCACCCCCTGTTTTTATGGGGAGTACCAACATCTAATTTTGTTCTGCCGTTCTGTTGGTTTAGGGTGAAGATCTGATGAAGATGAAAGTTGAGGATGAAACAGAAGAGACGTATGTGAGGGATGATCAGCGATATACGGAGGAGGATGGGATTATCAGGACGATAATAGATGACGATGGAACGACAAGGACGCTGAAAGAGGAGGACACGCCTACAGAGATCAGCACAGGTGGGTCATAAGATACTCTTCTGTTATCTCTGCTCGGTTCCTGCACACGGATTGGTCCAGAGTTAGGCGGGAGTGTCGTTGGCTGAAGAGCATGCTCCTCCCAGATCATGAGATCAGCACAGGTGGGTCATAATATATTCTTCTGTTATCCGGGGGAGGGGCTGCCAGTATATACTATTTATCAGAAGTCACATGACCCAGGGCCTAGGCTTGTGGTTGGGTGAAGAGCATGCTCTTCCAAGTCTTCATTTGCTCCGCTTCTTCTGATAAGGCTGTGTAGATGTAGAAGTGATTTGGGAGGAGGCCCTTTGACTGTAGAGGGGAGGAGTCCCGGCTGGTTGGGACCTCCTCATAGAACATCTGCTCCCTCAGACCTCCTGATCCAGATGGAATGTTGAATGAAGAGGGGGAGGAGCCCCGGCTGGTTGGGACCTCCTCATAGAACATCTGCTCCCTCAGACCTCCTGATCCAGATGGAATGTTGAATGAAGAGGGGGAGGAGCCCCGGCTGGTTGGGACCTCCTCATAGAACATCTGCTCCCTCAGACCTCCTGATCCAGATGGAATGTTGAGTGAAGTCATCTAACCCTCTCATATCTCTCCATCATGTGTTTCTATGTTTCCAGGACACGCCATGGAGGAACCCTCAAAGGATCGTCTCACCTCCTCAAGGAAACCCTCTAAGAAACCTCGTCCGGTGAGGGAATGTCCCGGAATTCAGGGGGAGAAGAACTTTTCCTGTCCTGAGTGCGGTGAAAAGTTTAGGTCTGGACTAAGTCTAACTGTGCATCAGAGATCTCACACGGGCGAGAAGCTTCACACCTGTTCTGATTGCGGGAAAGGTTTTCTCCATAAATCGGTGCTGATCAGACATCAGAGGTCCCACACGGGCGAGAAGCCTTTTCCCTGTCCAGAGTGCGGGAAAAGTTTCCCTCAGAAGTCCTGCCTCATCAGCCATCAGAAATTACACACGGGCGACAAGCCATTCTCCTGTCCTGACTGCGGGAAATGTTACCCAAAGAAATCAGAACTCGTCGTGCATCAGAGATCTCACACGGGGGAGAAGCCATTTTCCTGTCCCGAGTGCGGGAAGCTATTTGCGCAGAGGACCAATCTTTCCAGACATCTGAGATTGCACACGGGGGAGAAGCCTTACGCCTGCCCCGAATGCGGGAAATGCTGTTCGCGGAAATCAGACCTTGTTAAACATCAAAGGTCTCACACGGGGGAGAAGCCGTATTCCTGCCCTGAGTGCGGGAAATGTTTTTCAGATAATACCACCCTCGCCAGACATCACAGATTGCACACGGGCGAGAAGCCTTATACCTGCCCTGAGTGCGGGAAAGCTTTTTCACGGAGAGCAGACCTGGTGATACACGAACGATGTCACACAGACGAGAGGCCATATCCGTGCCCTGTGTGTGGGAAAGGTTTTACACACAATTCCAGTCTTAACGCCCACAAGAGGTCTCACACGGGCGAGAAGCCGTACCCCTGTTCCGAGTGCGGAAAATGTTTTTCCCGGAGGACTTATCTTACCGATCATCAAGTGTGCCACGCGTTGGAAAAGCTGTACTCCTGCACCGAGTGCGGAAAGCGCTGCACGCGGCAGGCGGATCTCGACAAGCATCGAAAATCCCACGTTGGAAAAGCTGGAAATTTGAGCTAAAGACTTCAAGGTTGTGTCTGGCTTCCTCTGCTGGGGGAGGGGGTGTCACTGCTGGTTGGGTCCCCCTAGCCGTGTAGTCTCATCTCCCTTCGCAGGAAGACATCATTGTGAGGGAGGAGCTTGTTTTTTACGATGAAGATGAAATATTTATGTTCTTATAACGATGAGATTCTTTGTATGTCGGTGGATAAAAGTCGTCTTCAGATTTGTATCATTAAATCTTCTTTCCCTTTTTCCAAGTTCGGCTCATACCGGAGGTTTTATTTTTGGGGTTGGGGGCGGGGCCTGTCGTATACTCCAATGATAAGTCATCAGTTCATAGAGCCGTATATCATTCCACCCGGAATTCCTCCGTCACAGTCTCCACCCACAAAGACCATCAGATGACACCTCACATAGAGGAACTCCCCTCCATCTGCTCTATGGGCCTCGTCCCTCGAAACAAGAGGATCGGCATGACTAGACACGGCCAGGTCCTGGGAAGAGTCACGCTGAGACATCGCTCCCCCATTATGCTTGGCACGGGTTGTGTAGACATGATATTACAACCTGGAAGTGGGGGGAAGGGATATATTACAATGGCACCTGGAAGTGGGGGGAGGGGATATATTACAATGGCACAACCCCATGGGAGTAGTGAAAGAGGTCTTCGGGTTGTCCATCTTTATTAGAGGGATCCCTAAATGAAGTGTGGAGAAGGTTTGTCCTTTCCGAGGGCGCCAAGAGTTCCTCGGTTCGTGGAAGAGGTTTGACGTCCCTCGCGGTAACAGCATTCAGACACAGATAGTCCTCAGAAAAGAGGAGGGTTCCATCCTGTTGGGCAGGGCGCCCCAACCCTCAGTCCCACAGCCCAGCAATGTCCCCGAATTACATTCATGCCCGGTATTACCGGTGAGTGCCCCCTCCCAGAGGACAGAGTGATCCCTACACTCTTATGTCCGAGGTCCCACCGCCGCAGTTCCAGGTGATCCCATTCTATGGGAGCTCATTCATGGCTGTCGATGAAATCTAGGGCGGGTCCAGGTTCATCTTCTCATGAAAGGAGCCCCATCTCCGGCAGGTTAGTCACTTGTGAGACAACTCGAGGAGTGGGATCTCCTGGTGGTCAAGGACTCCACATACAACCGGGCAGATGACCACCACATCTTCAGTTCCTTCATATGGGAGGACTTCCACCTTGCCCCCCCCCCGGTGCTTGACTCCTGGCAGTGGGGCATTTGAGTTTAGAGACAGGACTTTGAAGCTGGAGTCCAGAAGGTCCTACCCTTTAAGGGGCGTTCCACAAACGTAAGGACCACCACACGCCAATTCAAAGAAAAGGGGCTTCAAAGGTCCAACGTATCGTCTTCAGACTTCAATGTTTTCTACAATGTTCCTTATTCATGAAAGATGACTAGACTGAACGTATCCAAACTGGTCCAACATTCCGACCGGCAGCTCAGGCCCATCAGTTCTGGTGACCAAGAATGGTCTCTGAGGTCTAAGGAAAGGTATAACCAGTATACAGACCAGTGATGGGAGGTGAGGAATGGTGGGATCTTCCTATATGGGGGTGACCACCAAGCCAAATAAAAGGGTTCCCTGTAAAGAAGAAGTCTCACCAGTCCTTCCACCACATCCACCCCCCCCCCCCCCCCCCCCCCCCCACAAAAAAAACTGCTCTGGTAAACACCGAATCCCAGATGAGGTCTTCAGAAACCAACTTTCACCATAGTGTCCGTCTCCTGGTCCCTCCGCTTTGGTTTTTCCCGCCAGCCTCGACGTCACCACAGTGCCCGGTAGCGAGACTTGTATCATTTCCCCAAAATTTCCATCGCCGTCTCGCATTTGGCGAGTGGAAATTGGGGGTCTCCAAGTCTCGGGCCGCGGGCCAACTCTAGCTCGCCAACCATTACTGTGTGGCCCACAGCCAGCTGACAAGTCAGGCATGCGGTCACAGATGTGTGTGGGAGGGGCTTATAACGGGGGGAGTGTATTATTGTATGTGTGGGAGGGGCTT